CTCCATGAAAGGAATGTGGAAATGGAGAGAAATGGAAAGCTGCAATTGTGAATAAAAACTGGTCCGCTCGGTGCCTAACTCGCATGATCGTTCGTCATGTCCCCTCGCCTGCGCATAAAAATATAGCCCGTGTTGGCCTCATCTGTGCAGTATGGGCATGCTGGTTGATGCGTTGGCATGCCTGGCTTCGCCGTCGTTATGAGTGGGAGGGCTCTACGCCTTTTCTTTCTTTTCCTGCTGCTGGGCTTTGGGTGCTCGGCGGCTGGCTTCTTTTATGCTTCTTGGCCCTAGTGATGGAGGGCTACTTCGAGGCTCGTGCTGTGGGAGCATGGGCCCGTTTTCGTCGACGAGATGCTGGCATACAGGCTGGCATTGCGCATGTTGGGGCTTCTCCGGATTCGAGTTCCTCAGAACATGCTGGCTTTGCACACAGTGGGGATGCTCCGGTTTCGAGTTCCTCAGCTTATGGTGCTTCTGTTCCACAGCCGGTTGTTGGTGCGCCGGCTGTCACTTCTTATGTTCATCCGCGGGTGCTTGCCTGGTCGGCTCGGCTGGCTGGCTCCACCCGTCTTGCTCAGTGTCGAAAGGGGGCGCGGCTGGGTCGCCGTGCCGCTGCGCAACTCTGGGCTCTTTATGGCAGAGGGCGTCTTCGTTCTCCTCGTGGGCGACTTCCCTTTGCTGGTGCTTTGGTGTGTACAGGAGGGCGGCCTGCTTGTCAACATGGCAGCGAGCTTCTCCGTGATTCTAGCAGTAGTGGTGCCAACGTCACCATGAATGATTTTGTTGGACTCGGCTGTGCTCTTGATCAGTGCATTTTGCCTGATCCTGAAGGAGATGAGGCTGTTGATGATGAAGCTGGGGCTTGCAATGCTTCGGCTTGGTGCTCCGACCATGGCGCCGGTGGAGGATCGGCGGTGGGAGCTTGTGGTGGTATTGGGGCCGGGGGCGCTTTGGCTTGTGGCTGTGGCTGCGGCGCTTTCGCTGAGGATGGATGTGGAGCTGGGCCCGGTGCCGCTTTAGCTCCCGATGCTGGTTGCGATCTTCTTCGTGGCGGTGCTGGCCGTGATCCGCTCCGTGGGGGCGCCGGCGGCTCCAGCGCTACGCGCCGCAAGCGCACGGAGAAACTTTTGCAAGGTCTTCATGTGCTTCTTGAGGACTGGGGCAATGACGAGGAGGCCGAGCACGGAGCTGAGGATGGGGCTGAGGAGCTTTTTCGTCAGCTGGAGCAGTTGCTGTGGGATCGTCCTTCGGACCCTTTTGCTGCGCTGCAGCGCTTGATGCTGGCCTGGTCGGGTGAGCGAGCTCCACCTGCTGCTGAGGACTGGTCGGTGCAGACGGCCCCTCGTTGGAGGCAGCGGCGAGCGGCTCAAAATGCCGCCTGGCAGGACATGCCTTCCGAAAGGGCTGGTGCTGGAGCCCGTGCTGGTGCTGATGGTGATTGGTGGGGTGGGGAGCCTTCTTCGGCGTGGGCCCCGTCCTCCTCCGCGACTGACAGCTGGCAGACTGTTGTAGCCTGCGCAAGCCCAAGGCCAAGAAGCAGGGTGGGCAAGGGCAAGCGCCGCCCCCTCGCGTTCCCCGTGCTGCCGGCAAAGGCTCAGGCAAGACTTCGGGCAAAGGTGCCGGCAAGAGCAAAGGTGCGAGCGGCAAGGGTCATGCGGGTGCTCCGCGTGAGTCGGCTGCCGATTCCGCTGCATTGTTTGCACATTGGAAGCCGCGGCCTCAGGACTGGTCTCCTTCGCCGGTCCTTGTGCAGTCTGTTGCCGACTTCTTGCAGGACACTAGGAAGGATGCTGTTGCTTTGGTGACCGATGCTAATGAGCTGGAGCGCTTTCGCACGGTTGTGCAGAGCTCTGACTGCGGACCTGACCTCACGCTCTTGGTTCCCTCTGCCCTCCTGAAAGCCGAGAGAGAGGAGTTTACCGAGGCCGAGTGGCAAGTGCAGCGAGTCCCGGGCGATTGGCAGGGCCGGGTTCGTGTCGTTTCGCTTGCCGTTGCTCACTTTAGTGATGAGGCTCCCCGGCTGAAGCCCGCGGCTTCTGCGCCTCAGGTGCCAACGCCGCAGCAGACCGTTGTGCTTCGTGTTCATGCAGACTGGGTCTATGCTGGACTTGCTGAGCAAGCTTGGAATGGGATGACTAAGGCGCCTGGGGCTCACTTTCGGAAGTGGGCTGATGCCGCCTTCCAAGGATGCAAGGACACTTGGTCCTGGAGCCTTGTCAAGGGCTCAACTGTTGAGGGCCTGTGCCGCGTCAGTGCTAGCCGGGCCGCGCTTGCCATGAGCATGTCTGGCTCCCGTTGCGCCGGCATGCGGTGGTTTGTGTCCAACGTGCATCGCGATCAGGAGCTCCCGACTGTGCCCGGGCTTACGGTACATTGGGTTGACTGGGAAGAAGGTGAGGATTGGCCGGCTTATGTTAGTCGGTGCAGCCGTGGTGCCCAGCCTGCTGACTTTGGGCTTGCTCGTGGGCATCGGCAGCTTGGTGTGCGCAAGGCCTCCACTCCTGAGGACCTGGCGCGGCCCAAGGTTGTGCGCAGGAGATGGCGGGCGACCGGTGTCCCCCGTGATTGGAGTCTTGAGGACATTCAGGGCTATGTGACGGGTGTGGGTTGGAGAATGTTGAGATTGAGGAGAGGTCTCCCTGGAGAGGCACCTCTGCTTGACCTTGAGGACGGTGCTCTCGAGCTGACGCGTCTTGGTGGTGACCGCCCGGTGCGCAATGATCGTGCTCTCCCTCTTGAGCTCAAGCAGGTCTTCAAGCCTGCTCGGCAGGGTCCCAAGGACCGGCTTAAGTCTGAGCGTCCTCGTCCTGCGCGTGCTGGCGCTGATGCTGAAGAGCCGGAGGGGAGCATGGCAGTTGATGCTGGCAATGACCGCCCGAGGTTGGATGATGGCAAGTCCCTGCCGGCTTCTACTGCTGCTGTTGGTGGCCCTCACAAGCGGCCGCGAGCCGAAGCTGCTGCTTCCACACTGTTGCTTCCCGGCGGGCTGAAGCTATGCGACAATGCCGGCCAGGGCGAGTGCCTCTTCTTGGCCTTGGCTGATACGCTTCAGCATCAGGGCCGCTCCAAGCGGAGCGCTGCGGAGTTGAGGAACCTGGTCGTGACTCATTTGAGGAGACACAAGGCTACTTACGCTGGCTTCTGGCGGGGTGACGCGCCGAGTGCCGAGCAGGAGCCCATGCTCGATGAAGGTTTTGATGCTTATCTCCTTAGGCTCAGCAAGCCTGGGGCCTGGGCCGGCAGCATCGAACTCGCCGCGGCCGCGGCTACACTTGCGCAGCAGATCTTCGTCTTTCGGCCGCACCCCGACCGTGCGGGCGAGTTTGACATCCGGGTCTTCGGTGCCCCTGGCTCCAAGACGCCTCTTGCCCTTTGGTTTCGAGATCGTCACTATCAGGCGCTTGTGGGCGAAAGCGCTGACCTTGAGAGTGCCTCTGCGGGGGCCGTCAAAGCTGAGATTGGTGACCCTGCTGAACGTGGTGGCGCTCCTTCTGCCGGGCGAGCTGCTTCTTCCTTGGGTGGCCGGACCCCTGTCTCGACGCTTGGTGGTTGCACTGCTGGGCCTGCTGCCCCCTCTTCCGTTGGTGGCCAGACGCGGTGCTCCCCTCCGGCTGCCCCCTCTTTGATTGGTGGCAAGTCGCGGTGTGCTTCAGCTCCTTCGCTCAAGCGAGGCCGGGACGTTGTGCCTGCAGGTGCTGCCGAGGCCGAGGAAAGTGAGCCGGCTCCGAATAAGCGAGCCATCTGCCAGCGTAGGTTTCGTGAGAATCCTTTGGTTCGCGGAGGCAGGCCTCGCTTCGAGTGTGATCTCTGTGATTTCGCCTTTGAAGGCTCCAGGGCTGCGGTTACCAGTGCCAGGCACCACCACCTTGTCCGGTTTCATGACGGCGTTGGGTTGCCTGGGGCCATCAGGGTAGACTATGGTGTGTTTCGGCAACTTCGCAAAGATGAGTGCACTGCTGAGCGCTACAAGTGGAAGTGCCCGCTGTGTCGGTTTGGGCTGCCTGAAGGTGTTGAGGTGAGCAAGCATGCCAAGGAGGTCGCGACCGCGCGGCACAGGCAGCAGCGGCACCCTGGCATCACCAATGCCTCTTTCCAGCAAGCCGCGTGTCAGCAGGCCCAGGCTCGCCAGCGTGCTTTGGCCAGGCGGCGTGCTGCTGCAGCAAACAAAAAGTCAGCTGTCAGGGATGTGCCGACGGCTGCGGCCCCTAAGGGTTTTACGTTCGTGCGTTGGCCTTGCCTCGACTTCCCGCGGGGCCGGGCACGTGGAAGGCTGGGCGTGCGACTTGTTCCGCAGTGCCTTCGATGTCATCATGTGTATGCCAGCCCTCCTTCGAAATCCCAGCCTTGGACTTCGGCTTGCTGTCAGCGCGCTTTTGCGCTCTCGTTTGCTTCGCGCAAAGCTGCCCATGTCAAGCGGACGCGCGCCCTTGAGAGCCGCACTCGCAAAATCAGGGGGACCAAGCATGGCTTTCCCGCGGATCAACTTGAGAGCCTCTTCCAGGAGGCGTGCGCAGCATTGGCCAAGGCTGCGCCGCGGGCCGCTGAACACCGACAGCTGCCATGACGGGTCACTCTCCTTGGGTGGGCCAGTTGACTCGCGTGGGGACCATGAACGTCGGGAAGAGCTTGGCGACCAAGGTCCAGGCCGTGGCTTCGATCTTTGCTGATGAGCGCTTGGCGGTGCTTGCATTGCAGGAGATTGATCTCAATGCTCACTCACTTGGCAATGTCACCGCTGCCTTCCGTCGTCATGGGCTGCATTTCTTTGCCGGGCCTTGCGGGTCTAGAGGGCATCGTGTTGGCCTCCTCTCCAGGCTGGAGTGTGCTCCTGTGCACTTGAGGGTATTGCCGATCCATCGCGTGTTGCTGCTGTCACCACTGAGCTGCGGTGTGGTCACTCGATTCGCAAGGTTGTCTTGTGCTCTCTTTACGGCCATGCCGAGGATGTTGAGGCGGCTTCGGCCCTTGCTCGTGACGTGCTGGTGCAGCTGAATGCTTCGGGCTTCTCCTGGGTTGCGCTGGGCGATTTCAATGTGACGGTCGAGGAGGCACCCTGGGCAGGCACCCTTGCTGCCCTTCCTTTTGCCAGGGTTCTTGACAACGACTTCCTCGAGTGCGGGCCCTTGCCGGCCACCTCCCCAAGCCGCATTCGGAGGATCGATTACGCTGTGTCTTCCAGATTGGTCGTTGCCACGGAGGTTTGCGGCTTTTGTGGTTGTGCCGATCACCTGGGGACGGCTTACACCCTTGACCTTGAGTCCCCTGCCGGCTTTGTTCCGCCCGCTCGCTTGGCGTTAGCTGAGGTCGAAGTTGACGAAGCGAGGTGGGCTCGCATCTGGCGTGCTCGAGCTCGCAGCTTTCGTGAAGCTTTGAAGGTCGACTGCACTGGGGCCTGGGAGCTCCTGTCTGCTGCTGCTGAGGAAGCGCTCGCTGGTGAGGGTGTTGAGGCTGTGCCCGGGGTGGTTGCGCGGCACGCGCTCTGGTCTCCTAGACGTCCCCGGGATAAGCATCGGGCCGCGGCTGGCGTTGAATCCCTTTTGCTGGCTCGCCTCCGGCGCCTGCATCGGCGGCTGGCGCATCTTGCTCGGGTGCCCGCTGATGCTCCCTTGCTTCGCAAAGTGCGGGGTGATCTTCATTTCGCTGCTGAGACCTTTCCGGAGCTTCGTGCTTTCGCTGACGCCAATCCGCTTGATGCGTTGGAGTCCGTTGCCGGGATTGTTAAGCTTGTGGCTGATGACGAGAGGCGGGCGGCCCTGCGGCGCTGGCTAGCCACCACTTCGGATGACTTTGGTGCTCAATGCTCCTGGGTCCGCCGCCGCTGTGCTTTGGAGGAAGCCGCTGATCGGCCCTCTGTGCCTTTGGGGGACCTGGATCCTCGGGTCGTCACTGCCCCTACTGAGGTGCTCAAGCAGGCCGAATCTGAGTGGGCTCCTCGCTGGACGGCCCGTCGCGATCGTTCCGATGCTGCCGTGCTGCATGCGCTTCGTGCCCTTCCTGAAGTTCCTCAGTGTGCGTGGCAAGTCACTTTTGACGGCCCGAGTCTTCGTGGCATGGCTCGGTCCATGAAGGGCAAGGCCCCGGGGGTGGACCAGTGGAGGGCTGAGGAGCTGTTGCTTTTGCCGCCTCCCTTCTGGCAGTCCTTGGCTGAGCTTTGGCAAAGCATCGCTGACAGAGGCGACGTGCCGCGCCCTTGGCAGAGAGTGCGCATTGCTTTGTTGCCCAAGCGGCAGGGAGGCACTCGTCCTCTCTCGCTCCTTTCTGTTGTTTGGAGGCTGGGTGCTAAGCACATGTTGCACCAGCTCGATGCTTGGGTGGGCCAATGGCTTGACCACACTTCTTGCGGCGGTGTGCCCGCTCGGTCCGGCAAGGATCTTGTCTACCAGCTCTTGGCCGGCATGAGGGAGCATTCGCAATCTGCCGTGGTTGCTCAGGACTTGGCCAAGTACTTTGATGCCATTGACGTCAGAGACTTGATGGTTGTGCTCAGGCGGCTTGCTGCGCCTCCCCAACTGGTTGCTGTGGTTCAGGCGCTGTACGATGGTCAGGAGCGCCTGTTCAGCCGATCGGGCTTTCTTTCAGGGAGCTGGGTTCAGGCTTCTAGGGGGTTGTGTCAAGGTTGCCCTCTCAGCCCGTTGCTGGCCGCTGCCGTGCTTCGTGGGTGGTCGGCGCTTCTTGGCACAGCTGGCGCTAGGGCTGCCTCCTTTGTCGACGACAGGTACTTTTGGGCGAGCAGCTCCGACACACTCTGCTCTGCCAAAGCCCTGGGCGACGAGTACGACACTGCCTTTGGTTTTCACTGTGACAGCAGGAAATGTGCCATCGCGGCGTCTTCGGCCTCTAGCATTGCTGGTGAAGTCGCGGCCGTCTGCGGCTACTCTCGGGTTGAGCAGCTCACGATCCTGGGCCTCACCCTTGACTTTGGGCAGGAAGGTGCTGCTGTGCCTGCTGCTTTCGCTCTTTGCCACGTGCGTCGCAGGCTGAGGTTGGTTGCTGTGCTTACTCGCAGCTTCATCGCGCGCCGCGCGTTGATGCGCCGCTTGGTCATGCCGATGATCACTTGGGCTGGTGCCTTTGGGGTTGTTTCTGCCGAGGATGCCCGGGCTCTTCGACGGGACTTTCTGTTCAGGGTTGGTTCTGCAACCGCGCGGGACAAGGCAGTTCCGCTCTGCTTGGCTGTCGTGGGCTATGAGTGCGACCCGTGCTTCATGCGCCACTGGTCGGTGCTGCATGAGCTCATTCGGCTCCGCTCTCGCACCCGTGCTTGGCAGGATACTGCGCCGCTTTCCGTTGCGCTGAGGCCGCTTGGGCAGACCCTGCCGATCGTCTCTTCGATCCTGCGGGAGCTTGGTTGGCAGCTTTCGGCTGATGAAAGGAGCTTGCAAAGACTCGATTCCCTGGGTGTGTGGCGCAGCTTTCGCTTCGGCTTTGATGGGCCCCAGGTCCTCCACTCTTGGCTCGCTGACTGACTTCCACCGCCGGGCTGACGTTAGGAGCTGCGGTAGGCTCAGGCTGGACTACCACCGGTCCGATCAGGGCCTTGCGACAGGTCCGTCGTTGCCTGTCCCTGCTGAGCCGTTGTGCCTCTTCGCTGGCCACCACAAACTCTACGGTACGGGCTCTCGTGCGTTGGACAAGTTGTGCCTTGGCCATGGTTGCTCGGCCTGGGATAGGCAGAAAGCCCAGCACCTGGAGGTGCTGCCGTCATGCGTGTGTGGATTGGAGGCACCCAGCAGGCCTCACTTGCTGTGGGGGTGTGCCCACTTTCCTCAGTGCTCTGCTGCAGTGGGTGCGCCTCGCGATCGCATTCAGGAGCGGTTGCTTGGCTGTGCTGTCCCTGAGTGGCCTGCCCCGCCGCCGGTGATTGACACTTCCGAAGTCGTCGAAGACCTTGCCGAGGCACTGCGCACTGCATGGGTCCCTGAGAGGCCCTGGCTGCATGTCGCCACCGATGGCTCCTGTCATGCTGAAGTTGCTTCCTTCTCTGTCGTTCTTGACCAGGGGACAGAGGTCGCTGCAGGCGTGGAGGGTGAAGACCAGTCTGCGTACAAGGCCGAGCTGAGTGCCCTTGCGCTGCTCGTCAGAGCTGCGCTCTGCCTCGAGGTCGTGGGCACACTGTGGGTGGTCGTGGATTGCAAGTCTTTGCTGGATGCCGTGGCGGGGCGCGGTTCTCTCAGCGCTCTGGTGTCGCAGATCACTGCTGGCCTTGCCGTGCTGAATGCCAGGGGTTTGCTTCTTAAGCTTGAGTGGGTTCCGAGCCATGGCAAGCCCGTGCCTCTTGGATGAGCTGCCTCGTCGGGTGCTTCAGAGAGTTTCCTGCGGGCTCTCAACGACCGAGCTGACCGCGTTGCTCGGCAACATAATGGCCGCCGCTGCCAGCATTCAGCGCGCCTGAGGTGTCTTGCTGCGCGTGAGGCTGCTCTCTGCTGGGAGGTTGCTGCCTTGCAAGCTGCCTCGCTGGTAGCTTCTCGCTGGGACGCTGGGTAACTCTGTTGCTCAGGCGGCTGGCAGGACTTCGCTTGAAGGCATCCTGTTGGTCGCAGTAACACAAAAGGAGTCTGCCGAGCCGGGCAACTACGGAGTCGGCTTCTCCCAAGCTGCTCTCTGCGTTTTCTTCTTCCTGCTCATGTTCGGAGAGATGGCTTGGCTTCGCCGGAGATATGCCTGGGAAGACATTGTGTTTGCTGGGCGGGAATTCGAGCAGATTGCACGGAAAAACAACGGGTCTGAGTGGCGGGACAAAGTTTTCCAAATTGCAAGATGGTATACGCCCCAAAAATCCAAAGTCAGGGCAGGAGCCACCGGAACGCAAGAAGGAAAAGGTGCGGGGTGCGCCACGCCGCAATGTCAAACGCACATTTGTAGAACACGCCAAGAATCAACAGGAATGGTTAGACAAAGAAACTTTCCATGTTGGAGTTTTGAAGGCGGAGCAGGACGTAGGAGGGCGTGACAAGCTGATTTCTCGCATTTTGAATGATTTACAAGCTAAGTATGGTCCAACATGGATGGATATGAAGGAGGAGGATGTGGTTGTTGACATGACTGAGGAGTGGAATGATTTGCTAGTTAATGAAGTGGACGTGGGGCTGTTGTCCATGCTTGTACATGCAGCACGGTCACAAGTCATTAGTGAACAGGGCACGCCGCTGTCACAGGCCACAGGTCGTCGTCGTTTACGCTGTAAGCAGCCGGTTCCGTCTGATCCTGGGAATGCTGAACTGGCGGGTGTAGCCAATCAACGCCAACGGACGCCGTCACCACCACCTGCACCACCACCCGCACCACCGCAAACGGGCGTAAGGGTTCGTCTCAAACGTTATGGACGTCAGGCAAGTCCCAACGGCAATGGAAGTTTCCCATGCTCGTTGTGTAGTAAAAGTTTCGATACAAAGGTCGCACGCTGTAGTCATGTGCGCGTAGTCCATCCAGAAGGAACGTTTAGAGAGAATTGTTTTCAGTGTGAGTTATGTCCGAGATTGTTTCTAGTGCAAGGAAAACTCACGGAACATTACCGTAGGGACCATATTCGTGAGTCTACTGCTGTTTCCTGTCCCCATTGCGGGGTAGTGTACCCGGCCAAAACACTCCTATTACAGCACTTCGTTCAAAGTCACTCTGATGTGGAGGCAAGATTTCCCGGACCATGTTTCCTATGTGAGGCTCGGGGAGCTAGGAACGTGCCGTACATGAAGACAGCTATGACCTTTAAACGACATCGTACTGCGGAGCATTTGCATGACTGGCCTGTGCGGTTTCGATAGGAATGGCAGTATTGCATTTTGTTTCGTCAAGCTGGGCATAGCAGTGATGTGCAG